CCACTCCTAGGGACACTGCAAGAAGGAAGCCACGCACCGTAATTTTCACCATATTTGTTCAAAGTGAATCAAGTAGGAAACAACTAAACACAATTGCCAGGGATTTTATATGAGGGGGACCCCAAAAACACAGAATTTATTTATAGAAAATTGCATATTTATTCTCACATGTTTAAACTTAGTCACCTTCAAAGTACTCTCTGTTTGATGCAGTATACCTATCCAGATGCTTTTCCACTTCTCAAAACAGTTTTTGAACTTGTCCATTATTTGGATGCCTTTTAGTGCTTCTGCTGTTTTTTGTTTCACTTCTTCCACATCGGCAAAATGTTTCCCTTTGAGAACTTTCTTCATCTGGGGAAACAAACAAAAAAAGTCACTCAGGGTGACATCAGGTGAATAAGGAGGGGGGCCATGGGAGTCATGCCATGTTTGTTCAAAAACTGCTGAACACTCTGTGCGTGTAGGCAGATTGTTCATGTAAATCACCCATTATGAAATCAGCAAACGCTTTGAAAGAATCATTGAAAAAAAAATTCACTGAAGCCGAATGCAGTCTCTCACAATAATGCTAACTGGTACATGGATGCCGATAGGTTTCTAGAACACTTATCTACGGGGGAAATTCTGTATTGCAAGGGGCCCACCCTACAAAAAGGTAATTCCAGTTCATTTTGGGTTCCCCTCGTATACAGGAGAGTTCCCACATAAATCACAGGTTGTCTGAGGTCTTTCAATGTAGTCCTGGGCTTGTCTCCTCACCCGCAAGAGGACAGCCCACAGATCCTTGAGACACCTCCACTCTAAGGTGACCAGTCTCTGCCCTCTCTGGCTGTGCCCTCAGACAACTCCTCTGTTACTCTGTTTTCATCTCTAAGATAAAATGATCTAAGACAGTGACTTCCAATTCTTTGAGACCCACTGTAAGAAGTGTATTTTACATTGATCCTGAAAACACACACGCACAGGCATACGTATATACGTATATATCAGAAATGAAAGTTTCACAAAACAATACTTTCTTACACTTATTTGTGTGATGTAATCATTTCATTCCCCATTCTTTGCTAATTTATTTAAAAGAAATTCAAGCCAGGCTTGGTGGCTCAACCTGTAATCCCGCGCTTTGGGAGGCTGAGGTGAGTGGAT